TGCCCCCATGATCCGGAACCCTAAACCCTAAGCCCTAAACCCTAAACCCTAAACCCTAAACCCTAACCCTAAACTCTAAACCCCCCACAACCCTAAACCTTGGACTATCTTGGGCTCTCTGAGCCCTGGCGAGGACGGCAGCCTGGATGTCTCCAAGGCCTGGGCTCTTCGAGACGTCTTTACTTGGAATAGATCGCAACTACGGCGTAACTACGGTTAAGGGTTTAGGGTTTAGGGGCTATAACAAGACTTTGATGCTAATACGAATACTGATAACATGCTAGTAAAAACTGCCCCAAATCCCAAAGTTTCAGGGAAGCCTGAACCATGAACCGCCGGGATCCCTCAAGGCCGGTAGAAGGTGACGTGGGGGTTTGGTTTAGGGTTTAGGGTTTAGGGTTTAGGGTTTAGGGGTTTAGGGGTTTAGGGTTTAGGGTTTAGGGGTTGGATCTGCGTAAACTTCTTCCAAAGTATCATGGAGACCATAAACTCTGCTTGTACACCCTCAGTCACCTGAAGGTGATGGAGAAGTCCGGCATGGTTAAGCTGCAGGTATCTGCGGTTTGGGTTCTAGGGTGTGTCTTTTGAGCTCCTTCGCCGGTGCCATTATTCGACCGGAAAGGCTTGTGAAAGCCAAAGATGTTAAGCCAACATTCACCTTCCAGTTGTCACTTCGCAAAGTCGGCAATATCCGCGGGAGGTGCCAATTCGGGATCGGCTGTCAGTGGAGGCGATGCTGCAATACCAGCCACTTGCTTGCATCCACTAAGATGATAGACATGTTGATGCTGACGACGACGATTCGATTAGTACTCTATGCGACGATCCCGAGCATGAAGATGGAAGCAACGACACCACCCCAGTGCTGTTGACGGGTACCACAGTTCCTGCTTCTGGAATCTACTTAGGAGTAGCAGCATCAATAAAAGCAATCAGGCTAACCACACTGACAGTCATCGCTGAACTAATCGCAACAGCGAAAGTCCTAGCAACACCGAAACTAGGATGTGAAGAACACCCACAGACGTCAATGGTGATGATGATTGAGATCTTTCCAGCGACAATAAAACATGAAAAGCCTCGGTGGCGGACCTCCGCGGTTTACACATGTAGGCTTTGCCAACGAGGGTCGTGATTTAAAAGCCCATTATGGCACAACGCACAGAACTTGACCGATGGAGCACTGCCAAAGCCGCAGAAGTAAGGTGTAGGATGTAGAAGAATAGGGTTTAGCGGCATTCTGAAAAGACTGGGTGAGAGCCCTCTGCCACTTCCTATTCCCGAAGCCCTACGACCCCGCGAGCCTTGTGACTGCTGAGGCTTTGGAAGCGCCTGAGCGTTACATCTTGCACAAACTTCCACACTTTTACCGAACTCCAAGTCCTCACGGCTAAACCCTATTTAGGGTTTAGGGGTTTAGGGTTTAGGGTCTAGGGTGGGCGTCGAAATCCTTCCGCCAAAAGCTTTTCACAAAAGGGCACCAACCACTCCCAAACCTTAGACCCTACGCGAACACAAGCTAATGCCTTCAGATTTTCGTTAGAGCCTATGCCATGTAACGTAAGAGCAATCTTGAATCTCGAACTCTGGCCCCAAAAACTTAGACTCCAAGCCCTGCCCCAAACCTTAAACCCTAAACCCTAAACCCTAGACCCTAAACCCGAAACTCTACACCTCTAGCCATAAGCCCATCCATGCCTTTCGAAGGAAGGATCCTTCGCATCAGCTGCTTGGGCTGCAGCTGGGAGAGGGACGTCCACAGGGTTAGGGTCTTGGGGTTTAGGGTTTAGGGTTTAGGGTTTAGGGGCGGTTTAGGGTCTTGGGGTTTAGGGTTTAGGGGTTTAGGGTTCAGGGTTTAGGGTTTGGTTTGGGATTTCGGATTAAGGGTTCAGGAGTGGGTTCAGCCGGGTTCAGGAGTTTGGGTTACCACCCGTGAGACCCCAATCAAAAAGTCACCCTAAACCCAAACCCCAAACCCACTCCAACCGAGGCATCTCTGCACGACGACGCAGCTGGGTCTTGTTAAGGAGTTTCCCGGTTAATATAGGGGCCTTAATAAATAACACAGGGTTTAGGGTTTAGGGTTGTCGCTTTAGGCTTTAGGGTGTAGGGCCTGAATACTTGGAATTGAGTTTTCGGGTCTGTTATACTAGAATCACGATAACGAACCCCCAAAACCCTATTCCAATTGTTAGGGCCCTCATATTAAGGGCTCTGGGGGGGGTTTATGGTGTAGGGCTTGGTGCCTAGGATCTCAGAGCACAAGCCTTTGTCAGTAGAAGCATTAGATTTGTCTCATTAGGCGTGTTTGCTGCTATTGTGTTGTTCGTTGGTTGTTTTTCTGCTCCTCAGTTATGTTGACTTTGGGTCTGCATGCTGACAACCCTGTAAACCCTAAACACTATAAACCGTAAACCCTATAAACCCAAAACCCTATTGAACCCTAAACCCGATAAACCCTAAACCCATAACACGGATCCTCTCCCAGGGACGAGAGCGGCGCATTCCACATCTGCCCCACGGCTGTGGACGACGAGCGCCCAGAGCTCGCCGGTCGCGGCTGGAATGCTTCACACAGCGCCTCGGCTATGCAAGGGAGTTCGATTGTCCTACACCCCCAGAAGCCCAAAGTCCGAAAGCTGTCAAAGCTCCGGAATTCCTCTACATAATATAGTATAGTCTACTATACTACAGTGATAATAGTATAGCCTATCAGTATAGCATAGTGTAGTATGGTATAGCATAGTATATATATTTAATAGCAGGTATAGTCTAGTCAAATGCCTTGAGAAACTCCGAAGGCCCAGCGAGCCCGGAGACTCGGCAGCGAACCGAGACTTATTTGTAACAAGCTATACTAGACTATACCCGGTATGATATACTATACTTTACTATGCTATACTATACTAAGCTGTACTAAGCTATACTATACCATACTATACTCTCATTACTGTAGTATAGTGGCCTATACTGTAATTCATTATCCTATCAATGTTGCAATACCCTAAAGCTCTGAATGCCTTAAACCAAGGCTGGGACTTCTGCAGTGAACGTCGCTCGGAGACAGAGTTGGTTTAGGGTCTAGGGTTTGGGGTTTAGGGTTTAGGGTGGCAGGATCTTAACCCGAAGCCCCCAAGTGGTACTGCTATACAGGGCTGTGGGGGCTCTGGTAGCTTATATAGTAGGTACCTGGGGAGTTTAGGGTTAAGTGCTGGAAAGGAGGCAAACGGGGTTTATGGTAGCCAGCAAGGAGCTCACGGGCTTTGTCATAGCCAGCAAGCCAAGCCCGAAGCCTTAGGCAGGTAGGCTTCTCTTTTGGGGTTCCCCGGTTCCCCAAAACTCCTAAACCTGAACCCTAAACCCTAAACCCTGAACCCTAAACCCTAAACCCTACACCCTGAACCCTAAACCTTAAAGGGTTCGAGGAATTCTTGAAGGTTAGGGTCTCGGGTTCAGGGTTTAGGCTTTTACCTCCTGACCCCTGGGCTGCCCGCCAGGACCATTCCAGAAGCCCTTTTCAACTGATTAAGGCACCTTTGCGATATGACCCTCCCCCCCAGAATCTCCATATAACCCTTCGGTGATGCCTTCTAAAGGACCCTACTCAACTTGCACACAAAGTGTTCAAGCCCCCCCTGCATGATAGAACCGACTAGTAACCCTTATAGTTTCTAGAAGCCCTTCTAGGAACCACTAGGAACTCTCCCAAAACCCAAGCCTTAAACATTAAACCTAAACTCTAAACCCTAAACCACTAAACCCTAAACCCTATACCCTAAACCCTAAACCCTAAACCCTAAACCCTAAACTCTAAACCCCTATCCCCTAAACCCTACAACCGCTCAACCCTAAACCCTAAACCCCCATCCCCTAAACCCTACAACCCCTGAACCCTGAGGCTTCTCCGATCCGGTCTCCGGCACTGCGGAAGCCTGGAAGCCACCAACCACCGACCGCTCCGTCCACGAGGCGCCTCGGCGAGGTTTAGGGTTTAGGGCTTAGGGTTTAGGGTTCAGGGTTTAGGGTTTAGGGTTCAGGGTTTAGGGTTTAGGGTTTAGGGTTTAGGGTTTCCGCTCCGTCCACGAGGCGCCTCGACGAGGGTTCCTCAAAGGCTCCCCTTCGGGTTCCGAATAGGGTCCTCTTAGGATTCCTTAGTGTTCCGAATAGGGTTCTCTTAGGCTTCCCTTCGGGTTCTGAATAATATAGGAGCCGAAATAACTACCTTATTAGAATTATACTATACAGGACCCCAAAACCCTATTCTAATTTTTAAGGCCCCTACTTTAGGGTTCTCTTAGGATTCCTTCATGGTTTGGGCTTAGCATGGGGTTGGTTACGGAAGTTTTATGTGGGGTGCTATAGGAGTTTGCTTGAGGGGTTCTGGATGTCTTGAAGCTTATGTGGGAGTCGTCAGGCTGCTCCAGCTTTTTCTGTGGCATTCGGGTTTGAGGCTGCAGGGCTTTACGGCTTCGTGGCTTTGGGGGATCAGTGTCACAGTGTTTCTGCTGATTGTAGATTTCGCCGCATAGCGTTCCACATAGGGTCCCGCAGAAAGTCATACAGGCTCCGGCTTCAGAGTCAACTATTCCAGCCAAATATCGGCGCGGTCCGCCGATGAAGATACTGACGGTGCACTACTGTATAGTGGGCGTTCCTCTAAACCCTAAACCCTAAAGCCTAATCCCATGACTGCGATGGTGACGATGTCTTGGTGCCTTCAGCACTTGTGCCAGATCATGGTTCTGGAATCCTGGCATCAGTATGGGCCAGGGTGCTTCAATCATAGACTTCAGCTTTGGGTTTAGGGTTTACGGGTTTAGGGATTAGGGTTGAGGGCTTAGGGGCTAGGATTTAGGGGTTAGGGTTTAGTGTTTAGGATTTATAGGGTTAGGATACTTATAAGGACTTCAGCATGACAACTCTTGGGAAGATTACATCTTCCCAAGAGCCAGGTACGCAACAAGAACGGTGAAGATGCGATTGATAATTACCCCAAGATGTAATCTTACCACAAGGAGCTGCAAGAATTCCCTCCACTCCTTCACACCTACGACCCAGAGCCTACACGCTGAACCCTTTCCTAAAACCCTCACAAAGCCCAACACCCTGAACCCCGACTAACCTTGAGCCTGCCACGCATGGCCAGGAAGTGTCCGAGCCGCTGCCCCCGCCCGGTGCTCCAAAGCTTCCGGAGCGCTCAACAACTACAAGAAGTAGTAGCATCGCCGGGGTCTTGGGGCTCAGAGAATTAGGGTTTAATGTTTAGGTCTGGCGGCCGGGAACTTAGGGCATCGTAACTTGTATGATGAAGGTCCAGTAGTTTATCACAGTGATGTAGAGGCGTAGGCAAGGATTGCAAATTGCATTGCTAGCCTAAACCCCAAACCCTAAACTCCCTAAACCCTAAACTCCCTAAACCCTAAACTCCCTAAGCCCTAAACTCCCTAAACTCTTATAGACCCCCAACCACCTAAATAAACCCAAGGTTTGGGGAGCTCCTCCCTGGTTCAAAATCGATCTGGGTCAGCATCCTGCGGGGTGCTCTGGGTTTACCCGTGGTCTCCGCTGTGGTTCCTCTTTTTGGTTGAGCAGTTTGATGGTTAGGACCCTATAAAATAAATATGGCTAGTGGTCAAAATTATGGTCCCTTTTGGGGTACCCTAAATAATAGGACCCAAGAAGGGGCCATAATTTTGACAACCACACATATGGTTATCCCAAAAAGGAGCTGCAATGGAGACGATAGGTAAATTCAGGATGCCGGGCTGAGAGTTCGGGGGTACTCCGCAGGGAAAGAACGCCGGGCCGGGCTTGGGATTCGAGCGCCGGAAGTAAGACTACCTATAGTCTCCATTGTAGTTCCTTTTTGGGATTGTGGATACCTTATAAATCCCTAACATATATATATATATATATATATATGTGTGTGTGTGTGTGTGTGTGTGTGTTTGGTTAAACCAAAGAAAGGAACTACAATGGAGACTATAGGTAAGATGAACTGAGAGACAAGCTTTCAGGGTCTTCACAGTCAGCGTAATTAGCGCTTTCGCACAGTTTTACGTGTAATGCTTGCGCAAAAACCCAGTACCGGAGGCCTATTTGCCATGGAACCCGTCTGTAGCAATACCCCACTTGCTGCTGCTGTTGCGGCTTCCCGCACCACACTCTGCCACCGCCACGGCCAGCACCAGCGCGAGCACCAGCGCCAGCATGCCACTACCAGTATCGTATCACTGCCACTGTCTCTGCTTTTGCCACTGCTGCTACCGCTACCGCGTCGCTATGCCCTGCTGCTGCTGCTGCTGCTGCTGCTGCTGCTGCTGCTGCTGCTGCTACGACCTACTACAATTGCAGCTACGACGACGATGACGACGACGACTGCTACTATACTCCTCTTGCTGCTGCTGCTGCTGCTNNGCTGCTGCTGCTGCCACCGTTGCTGCTGCAAAGCCATGTGCACCCCAGAAGAGTTGTCAATGCTATCTACCCCCAAGAACATCTGACAAAGTTACTCCACACCCCAAAACATCCTGCAAAGCTTTGTATAAAGTATACCCCAGAACGCCCTAGAATGCTCAATGCACCTGAAAAGCCCCAAACCCTCACACGAACAACCCGTAAACCATAAATTCTAAACTGGCCCCAACTCCCTAAACCCGAAACTCAACGAAGTTATGCCTGAAGATGCACCTGCCCTGCGCAGGAGCGTTCCATGGCCCCCCCTGAAGAGGTTCGCCTCGTCGACATCATGCCGGACCCAGAAAGGGTTTAGGGTAGGGCTTAGGGTT